AAACAAACAAATGTCAAAAAGATTCCTGCAAAGAAACTGTATATTAGAGTCCATACTGATAATGTGCTAGAAGTGAACCACATGCACAGACAAGTCAGCTGTTGAATCTCCTCTGACTAATGAAGTAAATCAATGACAATCTAATTCTATCTGAGAAGACATCCAAAAAATTTTGAAATTCTAAAGACAATCTGATATATGGAATTAAATCCATTATCCTTTATATTGAAACTTTTGCTGTTTTTTGTCCCTTGAAATACTGAGTAATGATAGTAGGAAGCCATCATAATTAAGAAACACACAGGATAGGGGTGCCTGGGTGGCTCAGTCAGCTGAGTATCTGACTCTTAATTTCAGCTCAGGTCATGATCTTGGGGTTGTGGGATCAAGCTCCGTTTCAGGCTATGTGCTCAGCATGGAGTCTGCTTGTCCCTCTCCCTCTGCTCCTGCCCCTACTTGCATGCGTTCTCTCTCTCGCTTGCTCTACCTCTTTTTCTCAAATAAATAAATAAAATCTTAAAAAAAAAAATACATGGGATAGGAAGACAAATTTCCATAAGTTTTTAGTGACATTTAAAGTTATGTAATACATAATTCAATATCTAGAAAAATATCACTAAAATTAATGATAGATATTTAAAAGCCTCTTTTGAGTTTTCGCAATAGTAAAAGACCAAATGTAATACGTTATTAATAACATTAGGGACACACTTATTCTTCCTGTTGCAGTAAAATGAATGAAATAAAACATAGAAAACAATATGGCAACAACTTAAGTGGATTCTTTTGTGAACAGATACTGTCAGAAGTTATATAGAAATCATTAGAGATGATTTGAAGCATTAAGAATTAAAACAGATTATTCAGTGTGGAAAGATGCTAAATAAAGTACAGAAGTTTCTACCATGACTCAGATTATCATCTTAGCTAGATTTTGTTTCAGTAATGAAATAACAGGAAGAACTAAATTTTTTGTGTGTGCCATTAAACTAAAGATGGGTCAGAGAAGATATATTCTCCCTAATAAGTCTCCTGAATATAATACAATGTTTATATAACTTCTTGAATATAAATAATTTCTTGAACATAAAACAATGTTTATGAGGGAATTTCCTGCGGTAATGGTAATGTTCTGACTCATAGGGGTTTAGATCGTGTGTATGTATACATTTGTTGGAACTCATCAGCATTTTACTGTATGTAAAGTTTACCTTAAAAAGAAAAGAACCATACATATTAAACTCATATTAATGATATACATGGTGAATTGTTAAGGGAAAGCATATTGATGTCTCTGGCTTACTTTAAAATGCATTAAGAAAACCCTGAGACTGAGGCTGGCTCAGTGGGTGTAGTGTGCCACTCTTGATCTCAAGGCTGTAAGTTTGAGCCCCATATTGGGTATGGAGATTACGTAAAAATAAAATCTTTAAAAAGCAAAACAAAACAAAACCTGAGCTAGATTGATGAATGGATAGAGGGATGGGTTGTTGGATAGATGAGTCTAGTCTAGTCATAGTAATGGTAAAAATGGTAAGTAAATGGTAGGTATATGGATGGACGTTCTCTGTGAGATTCTTTGAACTTTTCTGTTGCATCATCCTTAGGCAATCTGTAGCAACACAGAAGTTGATGTCAGATGTGTGGAGAGTGCTTCAGGATGGTATCAGTGTTGTTAATTTTTATAAAAACCTGACTAGTGAAGTGTGGAATCTCTGTAGCACTCTGTAATGAGATGGGAACTGACCATGAAAATCATTTGAATCCCAAAGGGCTTCTTTGGTGATCTCACAGCAAAGATTGTAAAAGAGCTGTTGAATTCTACCTATTAAAGATGGGTGAAACATGTTTTTAAATGAAAAGATATGTCAAACTTGCTGACCTTTGTTATATGACAAGTGGCTATGTAATATGCTTCATAGCAGATTAAAAATTAACCAACCACCCAAATCAGTGGTATACTCTGACAACATCCCTTTAAAGTAAAGGTGATGTTTTAACAATGAGTGAGAAAGTCAGTGCCTTTTTAAAGACAGATTAAAATACAGAGTGTTTTTAAAATCTTTGCTTGGGGGCGCCTGGGTGGCTCAGTTGTTAAGCATCTGCCTTCAGCTCAGGTCATGAACGCGGGGTCCTGGGATCGAGCCCGGCAGCATTGGGCTCCCTGCTCCGCTGGAAGCCTGCTTCTTCCTCTCCCATTCTCCCTGCTTGTGTTCCCTCTCTCGCTGTCTCTCTCTGTCAAATAAATAAATAAATCTTTAAAAAAAAAACATTGCTTGGAAATGTTTCTTTTATAATGTTATTTTTGTTGTCAAAGATGTTGTTTTGTGAAAACTTTGTTTTCTGCACACTTTAAAAACCTTGTAACAATATTTGCTATACAGTTGAAAAATCTTCCAAATAGTTTTTATTTTTAAACCAATTGTTAAAAATTTAAAATGCTATATCTTTTGATTATGTTGTAAGAACAACTGATTGACATGAGGAAAGATGGAAATTTATTAGCCAAAGTTCAACACAAACTTTTGCTAATTGATGAAAGTTATTGAAAAACGAACATAGTAAGTACGAGTGATGTATTTTAAAAATTCAGTTCTTACATTTTTGCAATTATCCCTTTCTCAACTACACAGCCATTGCATGTAAATACATGGAACTTAGGACCTGACATTTCAATCACTGAATGACAAAATACTTAAATAATAATATAATTTCATTTGTTATTATCATTATTATCATTGCTTCACTAAAAGTGTTAAGTTTTTATAAGAATGAAAAGATCTGGAGGCACCTGGGTGGTTCAGATTGTTAAGCGTCTGACTCTTGATTTTGGCTCAGGTCATGATCTCAGGGTGGTGGGATTGAGCCCTGCTTTGGGCTCCCTGCTTGGTGGGGAATCTGCTTGAGAGTCTCTCTCTCCCTCCACCCCTCTCCCTTGCCCTGGCTCAGGCTCTCTCTCAAGTAAATAAATTGAAAAAAAAAAAAAAAAGATCTGGGGGCGCCTGGGTGGCTTAGCCAGTTAAGCATCTGCCTTTGGCTCGGGTCATGATCTCCGGGGTCTGGGATCAAGTCCCGTGTTGGGCTCCTGGCTCAGCAGGGAGTCTGCTTCTTCTTCTACCTCTGCCTCTCCCCCTGCTCATGCTCTCTCTGTATCTCTCTGTCTCAAATGAATGACTAAAATCTTAAAAAAAAAAATCTGTACAACTAATAAGATATGAGGGGCACCTGGGTGGCTCAGTCAGTTAAGTGTCTGCCTTTCGCTCAGGTCATGATCTCGGGGTCCTGGGATGGAGTCTCGCATGGGGCTCCCTCAGCCACTTCCTCCCCCGCTCATGCGTGCTTGTGCATGCACTCTCTGTCTCTCTCTCTCTCAAATAAATACATAAAATCTTTAAAAAAATAAGATACGAAACTTTTTAAATTCTTATTTTTAATTTTTTGATCACTATTTTATATTGCTTTATATTATATAGAATGTATTAGTAAAATAGTATGTATATAATAGATATACATACATTGGAAGACCATACCAAATTTTGTTTGTTTTCACTTGGCCAGACTGTAATCAAAAACGTTTGGAGACCCCTTTTCACTGATTACTCATGATCTGGCAAACTGTTATTGGTAGCTACAATTTATTCTGAAAGTCTAAATCACTGTTTAGAGATTAAAATAAATCAGCACATAGTTTTTAACTTGTGAGCTTTTGTGTTTTTACTGTTGAGACTTGATAAATGAAGGTTAGCTTTAGACTAAATTTTAAGACTGGTTCTCAAAAGTGTACAGCAGCATAAGCATCACCTGGGAATTTATTAGCAATGTAAATTCTCAGGCCACATCCCAGACCTACTGAACCAGAGATGCCGGTTAATAAGCTTGCCAGGCAATCAGCGCTTTTAAGTTTGAGAACCCCTGGTATAAATGAGGTAGACTCATGGGTCATCCCTTCTTATTTCTCCCTACTTCATGAAGTATCTAAGACAGTTTATTCAAATATTTATAGTCTGTTTCAGTCTTAGCTCAGACTTTTTCATCTCTCCCTGAGATTTTTTTCTCTCCTCCTTCCCTCTTGTTCCTTCCCTTCCTTTGTGAAAAATTGTGTTAAAATTATTAGTGTTATTTTTACAAAAGGGATAGTGTTTTGGTTCTTAAAATTTGGATGCCACAACCAGTGTGACAAATAGCATATGTTTAAAGGGGATATATTTTTTTAACATTTTCAAATTAATTTTTATTAACTACTTCTAGTTGGACTTGAGAATTTCCTATTTTTTTCCATCTCTAGGCTCTTGATTTCAAATTATATAATCTCAGAATAGCTTTCACCAACTAAAATTTCAAAACACACTTCAAAGTATGCATCACGTGGATTCAACAATTGTTGAATTTTGTTACATTTGCTTAATCTTTCTCTGTATACACACACGTGTGTGTGTGCACATGCCTTTTTTTTCTGAAGCATTTGAAAATAAATTTTATACATCAGAACTCTTCACCCCTAAATTCTTTACTATTCACAATAAAGATCAAAGTAGCTTTTTAGGGGACTAGTACAAAATTGTTCTAAAAGGCCAATTCATAAGAAATGCTAATCCAATTATTAAAGCCTCTTAAGGATTTTCAAGTTCCTTCTATAAATGTCTTAATGAGGAAAAGATACAGAACTCCCAGTTCTGAATGTATAAATGCCCCCTCCAGCCTCTCTCAACCAAAGCTTTTCATTTGAACTACAGAACACAGAGCATGATTTGAGTCACTATTCTCTCATTTTTCCCACAGATGGTATCTAACTAGTATCAACCAGACACATAGGGGAGTTAATTCCCTACAACAGATGTATTAGAATGTTTAAGGAACATTCTAAGGAATGTTAAGGAACATTAAGGAACTCCAGGAACCCAAGTTAGTGGGACTGTGCAAGTGGCAAGTTGTTAAAAGGATTTTGCTTTGAGTAGCTTGTGATGTTTATAGAAATACCTTTTTTTTTTTTTTTTTTTTAGATTACAGGCCCACCAGGTTGTGGAAAAACTCAGTTTTGTATAATGATGAGCATTTTGGCCACGTTACCCACCAACCTGGGAGGATTAGAAGGAGCTGTTGTGTACATCGACACAGAGTCAGCATTTAGTGCTGAAAGGTAGGAGATTTTATTCTTTTCCATTGTAATGTTTAATTTTGTAACTTATTTATAGCATGTAACATTTTCAAACAGGTTAACATTTACCTTTTCTTTATGAGAATGCCGAATGCTAGATGCTGCTTTAATTGAATTTTCCTTTTAAGATTAACACAGGAAACAGTTTTCTTTTTGTCTTTTCTATCCCTTTGTCATTGTTTAAGTGCAGTTCCTGGATAAGCTGCGTTTTGCAGAAAGTCAGGAAGAAGTTTAAGAAACAGAGGGAGGGATGTAAGTGGAAATGGGGAAGAGGGAAAATTAATAAAAAAGACAAAAGGCAAGGTGCTTTGTAACTAATTTCTAGTTGGAAGTAAAATATTAGTGAATGGAAAAGTTGTACATTTCAAAATACATTTTGATTGAGAAGTATTTCACTTTAATCTTTGTAATAGTATGGTATTCAACATAAGAAATGCACTGATAGTGTATCTATGCTTGGAAAGGAAAGATTTCCTTAGTTTGGCAGGGACCTTTAACATTCTATGAGAGGCATTTGGTTATTTGGGTAATTGTGTACACCTGAAAATAAGTTTGGTTTCCCCCCCCACTCTAATTAACCTTCATGAGCAGGAGTCCTTATAGGTCTGGGGACTGATTCAGTTCTGTTCTTTCAGTCAAGGAGTAGTATAGATATAGTCCTTTGAGTCTGTCTTTAACTGTGTCATGAATCACGTGTCTCTCTTTATTTCTCTCTAATGATACTAGTTAGATCAAAGTGTATTCCCTGACCAGATAAGTTCCAAATGGATTATTTTGCCTAGAGTTTATTTGCTTTGTTCTGTGTTGCTTATTATCTATTCTAAGTATATGCCACAGATGTGTCAGTTTTGTGAGTTTGTGTTATATCTTTGTGTCTTCAAAGCCAAATCTAGTGACTGACGCATATTAACTGCTCAGAAAATGTTTGATAAATGAACGGACAGGCGTTACTCTCAAACTGTGAAATCCAGATCCCATTTCCTACTAAAAGGAATGAGGGTTCTTGGGGAAATCACTGCTTCTAGCACTGGTGCAGGAAATTTTTAAGTTGAGTCTGAAACATCATATCAGATGGATGATAAGGAAGCTATCAAAGACTACTTAGGACTCAGGAGTCAACCTGACCAGGCGCCCACTGGCCAAAGATGAGACAAATTGACCACCAATAAGATAATAATGACAGTAGATTAAAACCTATGAAATATGTTTAAATTCTTGAGTCTGTAATATAAAGAAATGAAAAGCAGCTAAATCTCCAAATTTTGGAGAAGCAACTCATTATTTTGAAAATGAGTTAAAAAAGGGAAATCAAACATCTATTCTTTTTCTATATGAACTGTATTGCAGAGTAACAAAGTAACAAATAGGTCTTTTTTTTTTTTTTTTTTGACAGAGAGAGACACAGCAAGAGGGAACACAGGCAGGGGGAGTGGGAGAGGGAGAAGCAGGCTGCCCACTGAGCAGGAAGCCCAATGTGGGGTTTGATCCCAGGACCCTGGGATCATGACCTGATCTGAAGGCAGACACTTAACGACTGAGCCACCCAGGCGCCCCAACAAATAGGTCTTTTTACAGGAGTATTCCAGCAATAAATGAAGAAGGAATGATAGAATATCAGCAAATTACAAACCCCAACAATCTAATGGATCTTGGCATTGAATATTGTGATATAATAAGAAATCCATATTTTGTCTTAGTCCTGATTCTTGGCCGCAGAGCTTCTATTTTTTTTTTTAAAGATTTTATTTATTTGAGAGAGCGAGAATGAGAGAGAGAGAGCACATGAGAGGGGGGAGGGTCAGAGGGAGAAGCAGACTCCCTGCTTAGCAGGGAGTCCAATGTGGGACTTGATCCCGGGACTCCAGGATCATGACCTGAGCCGAAGGCAGTTGCTTAACCAACTGAGCCACCCAGGCGCCCTTGGCCGCAGAGCTTCTAAAACCTTTGGAATTTCCTGAGTTAATAGAGGTGCCAGAACCATCATTTGTTATTCATAATCAACCCCTTTCAACCATACCTGAATTTATGCTATTGAGATGACTCTTGGTGGGCCCCTGGATAGCTTCAGATGTGAGCTGGTTGCCAATCATGTGATTATAAAGTGGAAAAATTCAGCTCCACCCATCCTCCCCAACCTCTGAGGAAGGGAAAGAGTCTGGTAACTGGTTAATTGCCAATGGCCAGTGCTTTAATCAATAATGCCTATGCAATGGGATCTCTACAAAAATCTCTAAATGATAGGGTTTGGAGAGCTTCTGGGTTGGTGAACACCCTCAAGGTGCTGGGAGGGTGGTGTGCCATGTAGCCCTCCCCCATCTTTTCCTGAGCTGTAGCTTTTATTCTTTGTAATAATTTGGTAATAGTAAGTAAAGTGCCTTCCTGAGTTCTTTGCACCATTCTAGCAAAATTATTGAACTTGAGAAGGGGAGTGTGGGAACTCCTGATTTGTGGTTGCTTACTTCGTCAGAAGTAGTAGTAGTAGTAGTAGTAGTCCCAGAGGTCCAGGACTTGTGATTAGTGTCTCAAGGTGGGTGGGGGGGGCAGTCTTGTGGTTCTGAGTGTTTAAACTGTAGAGTCTGAGCTAACTCCTGGTAGTTAAGTGTCTGATGCCCAGTTTGTGTCCATAGGGAATTAAAGAATTGCTTGGTATGGAAAACCCAAATATTTGGTGTCAGAAGTGTTGTGAGTAAAAATAGTTCATAAACATAAAGCCTACTAGCATCACAAAAAGAAAGCTAGTCATTATGTTACTTCCTAATGGAAGAATAGTCAAGCCTGAATGTGATCAAGCTTTCAGATCCAACTACCAGTTTACAACATATACGGAGAAGAGAGGAACATGTTAAACTACACCAGAGAGATGCAGTCAGCAAAATCCAAACTGGGAAATGACAGAATAAATGATTGTTGGAGTTGGAGTTGGAGGAGGAACCTTTGGATTAAAAGAGATTTGAAAGGTATATTGCTTTCATCACATTGTATACCTTAAACTTAAACAATGTTATATGCCAGTTATATCTCAATAAAGCTGGGGAAAAAGATGTATTGGTCAGTTCCAATGTGATGAACTTATTTGGATCTTAAACAAATAAATGGTAAAAAGGAACAGAAGCATAAATATATGAGACCACTGGAAATCTGAACACTGAAATATATTTGATGCTAACACTGATAAAGACATTGGTTCACTCAGGTTGTCCAAAAGAAAAGGTACTCTTTAAAATGTCAGTGACTAACCTTCAACTAACAAGCCAAAGACAAGTTGGAAATGAGGTAAAAATTTTAGTCCCTTTATTGGAATTATGTTTCTTCCTTTTCTTTTTTTTTTAGATTTTATTTTTAAGTCATCTCTACACCCACTGTGGGGCTCAAACTCACAACCCCAAGATCAAGAGTTGCTTGCTCTACTGACTGAGGCAGCCAGGTGCCCCTGGAATTATGTTTCATAATTTGCAAGGAGCCTTAATGAAGGTCATTGGAGGATAGGGGTTGAAATTTACATTGTTTTTACTTCTCTAGACTGTTCTCCACAGGCTTGAAGAGTATGGTCATCTGGCTGCCACATAGATTGCATTCTGAGGTGTGGTGATAGGGTCAGGTCAGGACTGGTCAAAAGTACCAGTCCTCCTTCTGGAGTACCTTCTTCTCCTTCTGGAGAGTTTGTCATGGCAGGTCAGAGAATGGGGCTGGCTCTGTACTGCCTGGTCCCATTTCATTTGTGTTATTACAGGACTGCTTGACCCCTATTTGGATTTACTGGGGAAGGTTAGTTAATCAGGTAGAAAAGCTTTCTGCTGCAAGTAACTGAATACCCACGGAAGAGTGAGTAGGTGGTTGCGGGCACTGATTCTGCCGCTCAGTGATGACAGGGAGACCTAGGGCTGGTGCATTTTTAGGCATCTTATCCAGTCAGTGAGAAGGGAAAAGGCCAGCTATGTGTTTTGTCAGGAAAATATGTTTTTCCCAGATTAGCTGTCTCTTTCCCTCTGTTGATTTCCTTTTCATCCTCTGGAATTATCCTGCAGATTTCTCGGTGGGCCACCCCTATATGCCAGGGAGGGTGGGGAAAGGAGGGGAAAAAGATTGTTATAATAAGCATGATGAGATTCCTGGGGCTGGTTAACATTGCTGCCTGAGTAAAATTGGGGTTCTCATAGTAAAGAAGAAGTGAGGTAGGTAATTAATAGTGGTATTGGTAGGTAATTAATAGTGTCTGTCCCACTGGGATTGTTTCTGGACTTAGAGAAGAGGTAAAGGCATGAACATGAGACTCAAAGAAGAATATGTTTTAGGTTTCTGTATGCTTCTTCATGTAGCAGTGTCTTCATTTTGAGCTTACAAGCAAGCTATCTGATCAGCACAATAGAGAGCATGAATTGAAGGATTATTCTGAGGAAGGTTAAAGGATTTGTATAAAGGGGCGCCTGAGTGGCTTAGTCAGTTAAGTGTTCAACTCTTGATTTTGGCTCAGGTCATGATCCATGATCTCAGGGTCGTGAGATTGAGCCCTGCATTGAGCTCCATGCTGGGCATGAAGCCTACTTAAGATTCTCTCTCTCCCTCTAACCCTCCCCGCACCCCATCCTCTCTCTCTTAAAAAAAGAAAAAAAAAACTCAATTTGTATATAGAGAATTTAGGATAAGTGATAAAAAGTGGAAAATAATTTTTATTTTTTTTAAAGATTATTTATTTATTTGACACAGAGTGAGAGATAGCGAGAGCAGGAACACAAGCAGGGGGAGTGGGAGAGGGAGAAGCAGGCTTCCCGCTGAGCAGGGAGCCCGATTCGGGGCTTGATCCCAGAACCCTGGGATCATGACCTGAGCTGAAGGCAGATGCTTAACAACTGACCCACCCAGGCGCCCCTTAATTTTTAACTTTAATAATAAATTGCTAGATCCTTTTTATCAAGGAGGGAGAAACAAAGGAGGAGTAAATAAAACTTGCTTAAGTTTAAAATGCATTAAAAAAAAGAAAACCT